ATCATGCAGTAATAACTACTTGCCTGAAAAGGTAGGTCCAAACCCTACCTTTTGAAGGCTTTGAAGTCCTGCTAAACACAGCAGAGTAGGGGTGGGGGTGAACTAGGAGCACAAGTAACCACCTTTCAGTAAAGAAACTCCACTCTTAAATAAGTCACTGCTTGTGTTCATAAGTATTTATTTTTGTTTAAGAACAGAAAGAGGCAGTGATTAGACTGCTCTGCCCAAGAACTACAAATAGAACAGAACTGACACCAGTGGGAGGTCATCTTTATAACGACTGTATCCTCTGAAGGATGGGATGCAGGTCTCTCCACTACAGTGTGCAGCTGAGCCATTCAGAGACTCTCTCTCTCTCTCTCTCTCTCTCTCTCTCTCTCTCTCTCTCTCCTCTCTCTCTCTCCCTCCCTCTCTCTCTCTCTCTCATCATTTTTTTGAGACAGGATCTCCCTGTAGCCCCAGCTGTCCTCGAACTCACTATGTAGACCAGGCTGGCCTTGAACTCACAGACATCTACCTGCCTCCACCTCCTGAATGCTGGGATTAAAGGCATGTGCCACCACACCCGGCTCTCAGGGATCTTCTCTTTGGTCTACCACAAATTCTGTTCCAGGCTGACTAACTGGCAGAAATCCGTTCTGAGGGCCGAGGGCTGTGCAGAGCCCTGCAGAGATTTCCTCCCCGGTGCCCCTGCTGTCACACCCTTCTAGAACAGCACATCAGCCATCCCAGTGGGCTGGGGCAGGTCCTGGCCAAGATCCGGGTTGTGCAGTGCACCTCCACCTATTTGGATCATCTGGGGGATTCAGTGAGGACCTTCACCCCTCATTGCTGAAAGGCAGAAAGAACACCAAGGATCTTGCTAAAGAGAAAGATTCTCACAGGATAAATGCCATATTTTCTCTGCATTTAGCACAACTTCTGGAAGGACAAGCTATATTCCAGCAGCAACCAGGTATGGAGGAGGGCTGGGTCGGGTGACAGCAGCTGGTGAGAAAAGATCAGTATTCTGAGACTATTCCTCAGTCATAAGCCAGCCTTCCTGTGCCCATACTGTGGGAGAAAGATGGGCTGATGACTTGAATTACCTAAGCACAACAAGTCTGGTACTTCTCATCTGCACCACTGGATAGACCCTGCAAAGAAATCCAGGGATGACCCTGTATCTTCAGGAAGAGTTTCCGTTATAGAGCTAATTAATCCTGCAAAGACTCCTGTTGTCTACCAGACAGAAAAGCAAAAACTACAAGCATTACCTGGAGAATTCTTGCTTATCCTGAGTGATACTCTGCTCAGAATAGGAATGTGTGTATTTCAGTAGGGTACAGTGAAGATCTGTGTAATCCTGAATCTCTAGACTGTGAGGAAGAACAGGATTGCCAGCAGCCTGCAGATTAGAGTGGGGGGGGGAGGGACTGCACATTTTCTGAAAATTCAGAACTCATAATATCTTTACTACTGCTGTCTGTAAGTTTATACATAATTTGTTATAGGTGAATTTTATACTTGTTTATGAGGGAGTTTGATTAATATCTGTTTCCTCTACTGTCCTTTATGCTCTCTTTACTTTTTCTATTTTTATTACCAATCCTTAACACTAGGCTGACATGTAGTAATTGCTCAATAAATGTTTGTTGAATTAAAGAATGAATGAATGAATCATTTAAAATAGCCCGGCATGGTGGTGCACACCTTTAATCCCAGGAGGCAGAGGCAGGCGGATCTCTGTGAGTTCAAGGCCAGCCTGGTCTACATAGTGGGTTCCAGGACCGCTGGGGCTACAGGGAGACCCTGTCTCTAAAAAACCAAAAAAAAAAAAAAAAAAAAAACCCAGTAACAACAACAACAACAAAAACCCTTGGTAGCATCTTAGTCATTTACCTGCAGTACATGGATGCCACCAGAAGATGGCAATAAAAACAGCAGAAAATTTCAAGCTTTAGGGATGATGGATGCTACAAATTACATAATGCTTCAACAAGTGTGGATTGTAGCTTATTTCCTCAGCCAACACATGATTAAGAGAAATATCAAGGTCCAGCAGAGGTGGTTGGATGGATATCCATCCAAATCCTGCTATTTAAAGCCTAGAATCTTGTGCAAATGCCCAAATCTTTCAGGGTTCTGTTCTTTATCCATAAAATGAAATTTATATCAGGCTTTGCTATAAGGATTAAATGAGATAACACATGTATTTTATACATACAAATAGGTATGATTTTTCAGTCTCCATGTTCTTTGTTAAAGCCATGGTGGTAGTACATGCCTGTAATCCCAGCACTTGGGAGGTGGAGAAAGGAGGATCAAGGGTTCAAGGCCAGCCTTCCCTACATAAGAACCTATCTTAAAACAATAACAAAAAAAATCACTGTCACCAAAAATCACTTCCACATCAATACCTAATACAGGAGTTGAAGCAAAATAGAATTAGGTTTAAACAAAAAAAAAGCCAAGTAAGAGTGTGGGAAAAATATATTTCTCAGGCCCTGTTCTCTGAGAGAAATTGGTTTGAATTCAAGACCCTGATTTCTTCCTAAACAGACTAAAGGGACCATGGCTTCATCTTTCCATGATGATCTGTCCAAGGTTAGATTAATTTTAATGATCCTCATTAAAAGGCGGCACATTCTCTGGTCAGAAAAACTCAGAACATGTTAGAACACTTCAAAGGAAATGATCCCTCTAGATACATGAGGGCCCTCAAAAGCACACACAAAATTATTACATGGTAAAAGACATGTGAGCTGTAGAGTCAGTAAACAGAACTTCTTCAAGATACTTGTAACTTTTATAGTTCAAAATCTGTGTTCGATTTTTCTCTCAAAAATTTTCAGATCTAAATTAATTTTTAATACACTGACCTAAGGTACCCAGCTATTTTAGGATAAAGCCGTCAGATATCCTTTAACTTAAACGTTATGCTGGGAGAAGTAAAAGAATGGAAGTCCCACACTGCCAAAAACTACCTGGAAATCTGCCCGGGGGATGCTCCATTCCATTCCGAAGGCAGAAACTCAGATACCAGCTCCACCTAGAGCCCCGTCTAAAGGCAGATGTGCAGACTACACTGGCCTAGAAAGTGACAAAGACTCCCAGTGCACAAGACACACAATGACAAACATGCTTAATTGGAATGTGTCAGGGACAAATCTGCTTTGTTCCAAACTCAGCATTTGGCATCCAGTCCTCATGCTGAAACCTCTAAATGGTACTGGGAGATGGGTGGGAATCAGAATCCTACTGAGCAGGTCAAAGAGGAAGGACACCCTTCTTAAGGGCTCCTGCTCATGTTCTGCGTTTGGGGAATGCTGTGCTCACCCCTGTGCTCAGCTCTTAGTGATAAAAAGAAAATCGCAGACTCCAGATGGGCTTCCCCCAATGACTACGTAGCCCAGAAGTGTGAGGACTATGTCTGCAGTTCCCAAGATAGTGTTCCAAAAGGCCTCGGTGAATTTTGATTAAGTACTGAAAAAATGTAAGTAGCAGAAATGGGATGATCTGGGAACAAGGAAGCAAAGGACAGTGTTGGCCACTGGGACCATGTGTAGATAAGTTTGATGGCTGGTGTAATAGCACACACCTATAATCCCAGTACTTGGTAGGCAGAAGCAGGCAGAGCTCTGTGAGTTCAATTCCAGTCTGGTCTATATAGCCAGTATCAGACCACCCAGGGCTACATAGTGAGGCCCTGTCTCAAAAATAAAGAAAACTGTTGATGAAAACACATAACTCTTGAGTTTTTATATTCAGAGAGAAACGACTGTCCTTGTTTTAAGTCACTAAACATTGGGGTGATTTTACAGCACAGTGACAGACACAGGAACAGACCTTAGAGTCTGGAAAAGACAGCTACGAGACAGCCTGTGGCAGCCTTGTCCTACCCCCCGAACACTGTGTCTTCTTTGGATCACACACGTTGGATTCTTATACGGAAAAGCATATCTTGTTTCTAGGGCAAATTGGTCCTCTTCATTAAAAAATATTTTATTGTTATGTATGTGTTATGTGTGCAAACACAGACACATGTATGCCATGGAGTGCATAGAGAGGCCAGAGGATAATTCTTGGGAGTCAATTCTAGCTCTCTACCTTTCCTTGGGTTCCAGGGATCAAACTCAGATCCAACAGCAAGTGCCTTGACCTGCTGAACCATCTCACCAGCCCTGAAGGAAACTTTTGTTTTCCAATGTGCTTCTGGGTACAGGAGAGGTGGGTAGCAGGGAAGAAGGGCAGGGCTCAGAGCACAAGGACAAAGATGTACCCATGGCCCCAGTGCCCAGGTCTACCCTGCAGCCGGTATCCTCGCCGTCCCTCTTGTGTCCATTGTCTGTCACCCACACAGCCTCTTGCCTGCTGGCTCTGTGAAGAAAGCTCTTTATATCTTTCAACAATAAACCCAGTCATGTTCTATTTTTAATGGATTTTAAATGTCTGCTCTTTAAATGACTAAAGGGAAAGTCCCTGTAAAAAGAAATCAAAAACCAGAACCTCACCCAGGAAGGGGACAGTGTGTCAGAGCACCAGAGACCAAGGCAGAAACCAGGTCCCTGCAGGTCCCTCCACCCCTGTGTTGTGGTGAACCTAGAGGAACCTAGAAGTTCGGGCTGCACCACCACCCTATGTGGCCTGCTCCTTGCCTCTGTCCTGTCCCTGGAGGTGAGTGACCAGATGGGCCACAAATCAACAAGGCTGGTTGACTGACTGGGCCTCACCAACCTGGAAGCTACATGGCACCCCAGGAAATGGTCTGTGCCTAGATTAGGGACAGGTGGAGAGAAGGCCTCTGCTTCTGCATCCTTTTCCTTGGTCATCATAGGCCCAGTGTGCTCTGCAGACAGAGGAGGTCCACGCAGCCTCCAGCCGTGCTCGGGAGGGGCTGTACTGCAGTGCGCAAGGCTGTGTGCCTCTGCCCATCTTCGTTCTTGCCTCTAGGCTGGGGCCTCTCTGCACCCGCGCTTCCTTCCCTTTCTGCCCCCTGACTTGTGTGATCTCCTTTGCAGTTCTTCCCATATGGAGATGCCTCTAAGTTCGCTCAGCATGCCTTCCGCACCTTTGACAAGAACGGGGATGGCACTATCGACTTCCGAGAGTTTATCTGCGCCCTGTCCATCACTTCCAGGGGCAGCTTCGAGCAGAAGCTTAACTGGGCTTTCAACATGTATGACCTGGATGGAGACGGCAAGATCACTCGGGTGGAGATGCTGGAGATCATCGAGGTGGGTCTTGAAAAGGGGCGTGGGGCTGCAGGCATGGGGAAGACCGCACAGAGCCACCCTGGGACCTCTGGGAGCCCTGCTAGTTACACACCCGTTCCCCAATGCAGCCACTGTACAGGTCTGTCACAGAACAAGGGATGGGACCTTCTTGTCGCCTGAAATTAGCAATTTGGCCAGCTAGTCACTCTGCAAGGCCTTCCGCAAACTTTAGATTTACCGGGAACAAACAACGTGTATTTGTCTCCAGGGTCAGTTTCCCCCTCCTTCCCTGGCATTCCAGGGATATTTTACAGTTGTGTTTGCAAGACCCCAAGATTTCTCTGCCCGCTGCTCTGGTTGTATCTTTACCACCTCTTTCCCTATGCTGCATCCTCCATGTGGCAGGCTCCTGGAATTTCCCACAATGCTCAGTCCCTTTTGTTTTTTCTTTTTTGGCCCAGGGTGCACCCTCTACCTTAGGTGCCTCCCTCACATCACATGACTTTATTCTCATCTCACATACCACCAGGTCTTCCTTCCAGTAACCCTACCCAAACGTGCTCACTCCTTCCCAACACAATCTAACCTGACCAAGAAGGGACCTGTTACAGCGTTTATCACTGCCACAGATCAGCTAGTGTAATAGAATACAGAACAGAACTCAGGTCCCATGGAAATAAAGGCTCAGCCTGCTCACTGTAGTATCCCAGAACCTGGAATAGTGCCTAGAACCTGACAGGCACTCGGAGTTGATGAACGCACAGGTGTCTTTGCTTAGATTGAATGTCTTAGCATGCTGGCCACCTCTGCACCAGCCAATGGTCAAGGGCAAAAAATACACTACTTATCATGGCCATTAGCCAGGTGTCCTGGAGCTGGGTTCAAGGGTGAGAAACAGCATCCCGGACCCAAAGAACCCCACCCAGTCCACCATTCTTTACTCTCCCTGAATAGAGCTAGATATCCTTCCACTAGCCTGCTCCTCCAGCCTCTGAAGTCTGGCTCTTTTATCACACGCCTTCTTTCTTGGCATCTATAGTCATTTATTCTCCCTTGGCTTTTTCTGGTCTGTCCTCAGTGCCTATTCCCGTACAGGCCTTCCAAATAATATCTTAGTTCTCCATTTGGGGTCACTTCATTCAAATTTATCTTCTAAGCAGTTTATGAGAAGGGCGACATCATGCAAATTCTAAGCATGTGGCTTGCTTTCTCTTCTCCCTGGCTGTTTAATCTTTAGTTCATTTTCATATGCTTCTGGGCTCTCTCCAAGCTCACAATGACCTTCCTTCACAATAGGTGTTTCTGATTTTCTTCTTCTTTTTGACCTCTTGCCACATTTCCCCCACTGATGGCCAATCTCATTAGCTCCAAACCTTTTTCTTAAATCATTGTTAATACCCTTCAGCTAAAGACTCCCGAGAGAACACACCTCACATTACAGAAATTACACTAATTATTCCTTTCAGGAATAATTAACCAAAGCTAATTCAGGAAGAGGGTGTATTCATCACTTTTCTTACTGCAGTGACAAAATACTGACAAAAGCATGTTAGTGGGGAGGGGTTTATTTACCTCACAGTTTGAGGTAATCCATCATGGCAGGGAAGGCATGATGGTAGGAGCCTAAAGCAGCCGGTCACATTGCAGTCACAGTCACAAAGCAGAGAGAGGTAAATGCTGGTGTTCAGCCTGCTCTCTTTTTGATTCAGTCGAGGACCCTAGCCCATGGAAAGGTGCCACCCACTGTCAAGGTGGGTCTTCCCACCAAAATTAACTTTATCTAAAAATTCCCTCATAGATGTGTCAAACATTTGTCTCCTAGACGATTCTAGATCCTGCCAAATTGACAATCATTACTAACCATTACATAAGGTGACAGGATTTATGGTATGGGAGCTTTGGTAGAATGTTTTGGGGCGGGTCTATGGAAGCAGGCATCACTCTGGGATTGAGTACCTCAGCAAATCTCATCTTTGAAAAAGACCAAGACTAAAATTGTGATTGGTGAAGAAGTCGTAGTTATTCAAGTTAGCAGGTAGCCGAGTTGCTCTTGTGTTCTGTGGCTTGGACAATGTGTTGTCTGCCTTCAGAGAACAGGCAAAGAAGTGACCGAGTGACTTTATCATGCTCTGCCATAGTCACAAATACTCAGTTTGACTGGAGAGCATCAAGGCCTAGCTGTGAGGACCAGCCCAGCCCACAGCAGCACCAAGGCCAGCAGGTCACAGCAGGCTACCCAGATGCCAACCGCAGCTTTTCTCTCTTAGTCTTTGGGTGTTCCTAGTTCTTCAACAACTCTCCTCTTCACTTCTAGTTCTTCCTTTCCTCTCTTAAACCTGAGTATTCCCCCCTTGAGGCTGTGTCACTGTCTTTATTTAGTGTTGAGACTTGTTTTGACAAATGGGTAAGTTGGATGTGATCTTTCCAAGGCTTGTTTGGGGCAATCAAGAGGACACATTCTCATGTTGAGTCTCTATTAATGGCTCCATGGACTCACTGAGATCTTTCCACTCTGGCTGGACAGATACTTCTCTGTGTGTGGTGGGACTTATTCAGATATTTAAATGAGCAAAGGTATATGCAGTCACTCAGTGCAGGTATAAGTAAGAAAGGGGTTTTTAGAAGACTGGGCCCTGGAGCATCAAAACATTTAGAAAGGAGGAACATGAACAATCAGTGAAGGAGACTAAAAAAAACTTATGGGACTGGGAAGATTACTCAACCAGTAAAGTGCTTGCCTCCCAAGTATAAGGATCTGAGTTTGATACCTAGCACCCATATAAAATTGCCAAGCATGGTGTACATACTCATCATAGTGCTCTGGAGATAGAGAAAGGAGGACCCCTGGATCTTGCCAACCCACCATCCTAGCCTAATTGAAGAGATCAAAGCCAACGAAAGATCATGTCTCAAAGGAGATGGATGGCATTCCTCAGGATAATACTCCAGGTTGTCCTCTGGCCTCCATTCACACATGCACTCAATGTGCACATGCACAGGTACACATATGCATATGCATATACACACAACCACATTAAAAAAAAGAAATAATAACCAAGAAAAAGAAAAAGACAGAGCCAGAAAAATACAGAAACTTTCAAGGGCAAAGGAACATGTGATCAAGAAAAAAAAAATAGAAAAAACTATTGATTCTCTTCAGGCAATGACCACCAAGGAAACACCTTTCAGGGACTGACAGATCTGTTGATTAGAGGCCCTTGGTGAACCAGCTAAGAATAGTTCAGTGGCATTCAGGCAAAAGTGCTGGAGTGGAGGAAGCAGAGATAGCAGGTGTAGAAAGGTCTTACAGCAAGTTTTGCTTTCAAAGAAAGATGGACAAAAAACCTACCAAATGTTTCAGGTATTTAACAAGCTGTCTCAAGTCTAGCTGGTCAGAACTAGAATGTTTCACAATCTTGTCAGTGTGGCTATTCAGAAACTTCTTGGATTTCATCCTCTGTGTGCAGACTGGCAGAGCCCTAGGCAGGCTTCTGGAGTTCTCTATCAGCACCCTCCTCTCTGGTCTTCTGCCCCATAATTCTGCCTAATGAAGCTCCCCATTAAGACTGTTGGCTCCTCAAGTTGATGAGGGGGGAGGGGCATTGTGTTGCCTAAAGCCTTCTCCCTGAGCTGCCATCTGGAAAGGCCCTGGTGAGGCCATGAAATCTCAGGGTTCATCTCCTCTGATCTCCTCCTGTAGGAGTCCTAGTCCTGCATTGCCATCATAGTATCTGAAAACACTGCCCAGCTTCCTAGTTTGTGGTGGAGGCAAGTCAATACAGGCTGTGAGTCATGGCTGGGATGACTGGTACGAGAATCTAGGCTGCTATAACTAAATACCATAGACTGGGTGACTTATGAACAACAGAAGTGTACTCTTCATGGTATAAGAGGCTAAGTATCTGAGATCAAGTCACTGGAAGATTTGGTGTCTGCCGAGGGCTCACTTCCTGATTCACACAGATCCCATCTTTTAAAAATATTTTTATTTATTAAATTTATTTTAGTTTGTGTGTATACATGTTTTGCCTGCATGTATGTAAGTGCACCACATGTGTGTAATGCCCACAGAGGCCAGAAGAGGATGTCAGATCCCCTGGAACTGGAGTTACAGAATGTTGTTAGACACTACATGGGTGGTGGGAATCGAACTCAGGTCCTCTGAAAGAACAGCAAATGTTCTTAACTGCTGAGCCATCTCTCCAGCCCTGGATCTCTTCTCAAAAGGTGGAAAAGGCAAAGTGTCTTTCTGGGTCATTAACCCCATTCATGAGCATACTCCTCTCATGACCTGGTTTCCACCCATGGGCTGTACCTCTTAAAACCATCACAATAGCCAGGCGTGGTAGCCCACACCTTTAAGCCCAGCACTTGGGAGGCAGAGGCAGGCCGATCTTCATTGAATGTGAGGATTTCAACATATGAGTTTGGGGAGAAGACAGATATTCAGACCATAGAGATAGATTCAAGAGACAGACACTGGCCCTGCCTCAGTGTTCCCAAAATAATAAGAAAAATAAGCATCAGCCTCCGAGTGTGTAAGAATGACCAAGGCTGTGAAGCACTACAACACTTCCTCTCTCAGGTAGCAGTTTCTCAACATTGTTTTAAGACTCTCTGCCTTATTTTCTCTCTAGACATTTTCTCCTGAAAAGTCTTGTGTCTCAGCCATTTCTACCTAACCACCCATGTCCCCAGCTATGGCCTGTTCCCCTTCCATATGCCTTCCCATCACTATCTCTATTACTCTGCAAGATTTGGGCCCTTACTACCTTCACCAGTGCATGCATTCCTGCCTCTAGCCATCTTGCTCATGACTAACAGACCACAGCTCTTACAGCAGTAATATTTCCATTGTGTCAGCCCTGTCTTTCAATACAACAGAAACCTTTCCAGAGAAGGTACCATGTGCCTCCAAACACAGATGTGCAGATCTCTGCAACACATTTCACTGAGATCTGACCATGTCTGACTCCTCAACCTTGCACATCTGAGGAGCGTGGGATATTCCTACCTTAGAG